ACTGCCACTAGAACGCTAAATCCAGGGAGCACTATTTAATGATACTGCTTCACGTGTGTTTGCATGCGTGTTTGTGTGCATGCATGTGCATGCGTGTTTGTGGGCATGCATGTGCATGTGTGTTTGTGGGCATGCATGTGCATGCATTTATGTGTGTGGCATGCATATACATGCATGTACACACCCTCATTTACAGGCTATCTCCCCAACCAGCGAACCAGGGACTAAGGGTTGACGATGGGGCCCCGTCGTTCAACCAGTACCCAGGTTCCAGCCAATGAGAAGATGGTTTTGGCAATCGCAGAGGTGATGTGGATACCACTCTCCTGTCTGCCCTTGTCATTCCCATTCCAGAGCTGGTTGAAGCACGGTCTGCTCTCTAGTGGCTTCTATTCTGCCTTGCTTACCATGGAGTGCACTAATACCTATTTTTGTACATAGTGTTTATAGTGTACATACTTCTGTTCTAAACTGGTGAAGGATAATATAAATAAAAAGTTTTTCTGCTGTGTTTATTTTGCTCCCTTTACACCCAGGATAACAGGCCTTTAGGACTCCTGGGTTGTAATAATGTGCATGCATGTGTGTGTGTGTGTGTGTGTGTGTGTGTGTGTGTGTGTGTGTGTGTGTGTGTGTGTACTCACCTAGTTGTACTCACCTAGTTGAGGTTGCAGGGGTCGAGTCCAAGCTCCTGGCCCCGCCTCTTCACTGGTCGCTACTAGGTCACTCTCCCTGAACCGTGAGCTTTATCATACCTCTGCTTAAAGCTATGTATGGATCCTGCCTCCACTACATCGCTTCCCAAACTATTCCACTTCCTGACTACTCTGTGGCTGAAGAAATACTTCCTAACATCCCTTTGATTCATCTGTGTCTTCAGCTTCCAACTGTGTCCCCGTGTTGCTGTGTCCAGTCTCTGGAACATCCTGTCTTTGTCCACCTTGTCAATTCCTCTCAGTATTTTGTAAGTCGTTATCATGTCCCCCCTATTTTCTTCCTGTCCTCCAGTGTCGTCAGGTTGATTTCCCTTAACCTCTCCTCATAGGACATACCTCTTAACTCTGGGACCAGTCTTGTTGCAAACCTTTGCACTTTCTCTAGTTTCTTTACGTGCTTGGCTAGGTGTGGGTTCCAAACTGGTGCTGCATACTCCAATATGGGCCTAACGTACACGGTGTACAGGGTCCTGAACGATTCCTTATTAAGATGTCGGAATGCTGTTCTGAGGTTTGCTAGGTGCCCATATGCTGCAGCAGTTATTTGGTTGATATGTGCTTCAGGAGATGTGCCTGGTGTTATACTCACCCCAAGATCTTTTTCCTTGAGTGAGGTTTGTAGTCTCTGGCCCCCTAGACTGTACTCTGTCTGCGGTCTTCTTTGCCCTTCCCCAATCTTCATGACTTTGCACTTGGTGGGGTTGAACTCCAGTAGCCAATTCCTGGACCAGGTCTGCAGCCTGTCCAGATCCCTTTGTAGTTCTGCCTGGTCTTCGATCGAATGAATTCTTCTCAACTTTACGTCATCTGCATACAGGGACACTTCGGATTCTATTTCTTCCTTCATGTCGTTCACAAATACCAGAAACAGCACTGGTCCTAGGACTGACCCCTGCGGGACCCCCGCTGGTCACAGGTCCCCCACTCTGACACCTCGCCACGTACCATGACTCGCTGCTGTCTTCCTGACGAATATTCCCTGATCCATTGTAGTGCCTTCCCTGTTATCCCTGCTTGGTCCTCCAGTTTTTGCACTAATCTCTTATGTGGAACTGTGTCAAACGCCTTCTTGCAGTCCAAGAAAATGCAATCCACCCACCCCTCTCTCTCTTGTCTTACTGCTGTCACCATGTCACAGAACTCCAGTAGGTTTGTGACACAAGATTTCCCATCCCTGAAACCATGTTGGCTGCTGTTGATGAGATCATTCCTTTCTAGGTGTTCCACCACTCTTCTCCTGATAATCTTCTCCATGACTTTGCATACTATACATGTTAGTGACACTGGTCTGTAGTTTAGTGCTTCATGTCTGTCTCCTTTTTTAAAGATTGGGATTACATTTGCCGTCTTCCATACCTCAGGCAATCTCCTTGTTTCGATAGATGTATTGAATATTGTTGTTAGGGGTGCACATAGCGCCTCTGCTCCCTCTCTCAGGACCCATGGAGAGATGTTATCCGGCCCCAATGCCTTTGAGGTATCTAGCTCACTCAGAAGCCTCTTCACTTCTTCCTCGGTTGTGTGTACTGTGTGCACGTACGTACGTACGTGTGTGTGTGTACACTCACCTAATTGAACTTCTCTAATTGTGGTTGAAGGGTTTGAGCCACAGCTCCTGGCCCCGCCTCTTCACTAGTGACTATTACATCACTCTCCCTGCTCCAAGAGCTTTATCATACCTTTTCTTAAGTGCCCCGAATATTTCGAAATTTTTTTTTTATACAGAAATAAAGAGAACATTTTTCTAAGTGTTATAGGATTAAAATTAAAAAACTAGGGTCCTGCTGCTTGCAGAAGTGTTGCCGATATACCTTTTATCTCATTTTTATATTATTTTATATAATTTTAATATTCTGATAATTACAATTTGTAGTAGTTCTTGTGATTTCATAACTAATCTTCGTTCTGACACTAATATTAGGTACTGAAATTGTGCTCAAATTGTCACAAACACACTGACAGGTGGACATTTACACCTGCCTTGGTCATTTACTATTGTCTAGGAATATATACAAAGTATTTATAGGTCCCAGCAATGTTTTGGATACACTTGAGTATATAATAAGAAGAAGAAAGAAGAAGAAGGTAGAAGAAGGAAGAAGAAAGAAGAAGAAGAAAAAGAAGGAAGAAGAAGGAAGAAAAAGAAGGAAGAAAAAGAAGGAAGAAGAAGGAAGGAGGAAGAAGAAGAAGGAAGAATAGGAGGAAGAAAAAGGAAGAAGAAAAAGGAAGAAGAAGAAGGAAGGAGGAAGAAGAAGAAGGAAGGAGGAAGAAGAAGAAGGAAGGAGGAAGAAGAAGAAGGAAGAAGAAAAAGGAAGAAGAAGGGAGGAGGGAAAAAGGAAGAAGAAGGGAAAAAGAAGAAGGAAGAAAGGAAGAAGAAGAAGGAAGAAGAAGGAAGAAGAAGAAGGAAGAAGAAGAAGGAAGAAGAGAAGGAAGAAGAAGAAGGAAGAAGAAGGAAAAAAGAAGGAAGGAGAGGAGGAGAAGAAGAAGGAGGAGGAAGGAGGAGGAGGAAGAAGAAGGAGGAAGAAGAAGGAGGAAGAAGAAGGAGGAAGAAGAAGGAGGAAGAAGAAGGAGGAAGAAGAAGGAGGAAGAAGAAGGAGGAAGAAGAAGGAGGAAGAAGGAGGAAGAAGGAGGAAGAAGGAAGAAGAAGAAGAAGGAAGAAGAAGGAGGAAGGAGGAAGAAGAAGAAGAAGAAGGAGGAAGAAAAAGAACAAGTTCTCTTGAAGCATCATATAAGACAAGTGTCAGTGACAAGTCTCCGGGAGTGTGCAGTGATAAGATAAGTGGTGACATTTGATGAGCCACGTGAGTGTGCAGTGATAAGATAAGTGGTGACATTTGATGAGCCACGTGAGTGTGCAGTGATAAGATAAGTGGTGATATTTGATGAGCCACGTGAGTGTGCAGTGATAAAAGGTGACATTTGATGAGTACCGACAAGGGTGCAGTGATAAGATGAAATAAGGGGTGACATTTGATGAGCTTGGCATTTCTCTCTGCGTATCTAGCTCTCTGTCTGCTTGTCTCTCTGTCTCAGAGAGAGCCACTGTGAACCAACAAGTATTCTTACAAATTATATCTACAAGCACAGTATAGCATTTTGTCTGAATTTTTTGGGTTATCCTAGGTAATTTACACTATAATTGTATTTGTTTACCTGTGAGACAGAGATAGAAAGAGACAGAGAGAGACATAGATACAGAGACAGACAGACATACAGAGATAGAGCCAGCCAGCCAGCCAAACACTTATTACACACTCCAGAATTCTCTTTACTTAGAAGATAGGTTAAAAGACATTCTGAAAGGGTGTTGCACAAATGTTGCACAGGATTATATCGAGGTTTTTGATATTTCCTCGACCACTTGTGGCCACATCCACCTCAAAGCCACTAAACTTGGGGTCAACATCACTTTCCTCTTAAAAGGAGTGTTAATATGACATGATATCAGTGAATCCTTGGTGTTTGCCGCACTGTTTTCTCTAGCTGGAACTGAATTTAACTGATGCTTCCACAAGGTACTACGTGGTCCCAGATTTTTTTTTTTAATACAGTGCACATCGAATGTTGAGACCCATTCTATGCTGACCAGGCATCTCAGGACAATCGTGCCAAATTTGGAGGCAGGAAAAATAAAAAGTACATGTACATTTTGGGGCACTAGCGGTAAGAACATATATATATATATATATATATATATATATATATATATATATATACATTATACATGTTTAGACCGTTTACGGGTTATAGTTATGTATGGACCCTGCCTCCACTACATCACTTACAAGACTATTCTACTTCTTGACAACTCTATGACTGAAGAAATACTTCCTAACATCCTTGTGACTCATCTGAGTCTTCAATCTCCAATTGTGACTCCTTGTTGCTGTGTCCCATCTCTGGAACACCCTGTCTTTGTCCACTTTGTTGACTTCCCTCAGTACACGTATTTTAAATGTCATTATCATATCCATCCTTTCTCTCTCCTGTCCTCCAGTATCGTCAGGTCGATTTCCCTTAACCTCTCCTCATAGGACATGCCTCTTAGCTCCATCACTAGCCTCATTGCAAACCTTTGCACTTTTTCTAATTTCCTTATGTGCTTGGCCCATATTGGCGTACTCCAATATGGACCTGACGTATGTGATGTACAGAGTCCTGAATGATTCCTTACTGAGATGTTTGAGTGTGCATGTGTGTGCATGTGCATGTATGCATGAATGCTGTATATACACGTGCATGAGTATGCATGTGTTTGTTTTTGCACCGAATTAATTAACTTACCTTCCACTATAATAACTGCTTCATGATTATATTTCTGGAACACCTGGTTAAGTGCCCACTTGTAATGACGAGCAATGAGGAAGTAACCTTTGAATTTTCTCTCCTTCAATGGCACTTCTATGTCACTCAGATCAGGTTGCTGAAAGTTACAACAAAATGTAAACAATGGTATTGAAAACAAATTTTTTTATATGTTATCAAATTATTATACAGTAGGGCCCTGCTTTACGGCATTTTGCCTTACGGCTTTCCCGTAATCGGCAAGCAAATTATGACCAAAATTTGCTATATGGCAAGCGGTCTTTCAAAAAACGTCCCCCCCACCTGGTTTTTACTTTCTCCTGACCACATTTTTTGTCGGGAAATTTTTTCCAAAATTTTTCAAGTGGTGAAGCAATGTAAAAAAGAGCAAAGGAGAGGGGTGAGATTTTTACAACAAATTTTTTTGAAAATAAGAAAAAGTTTTGGAGTGAGTTTAACAAGTTAAGGAAGCCTGGAAAAAAAGGGTTTGCAGTTAAAAATAGGAAGGAGAGTTTTTTAAATGGAATTAAGGGGTATTGGGAAGATGGAAGGAATTTTTTTGGGAATTGTTAAAGTTAAGAAGATAGGGAAGTGTGATTTCTGTATAGGCAAGGGGGAAAAAACATCTTGTGGGAGAGGAAGACCAGTTGGAGTGGGGGAAGTTCGTGAGGCAGTAGGTAAAAAAAAGGGGGGAAAGGGCAGCCGGGGATTGAGGGATAAAGATAGAATATTAAACAGGGGGATATATTTTTTTGGAGTGGTTGGTGCAATTATTTAATAAATGTATGGAATAAGGTACCTGGGGATTGGCAAGAGCATGCATAGTTCCTTTGTAAAAGGCAAAGAGGACAAAAAGGACACTTTACCATATACCTGGTAAAGTGTAGGGTAAGTTATTATTGAAAAAAATTAAGAGTAAGACGAAAAATAGGATACAATGAACAAGGGGGTTTTGGGAAAGGTAGGGGGGTGTGGACCAGGTGTTTACAGTGAAACACATAAGTGAAACATTTTTTAGATAAGGCTAAAGAGGTCTTTGGGGCATTTATGGTTTTTGGAAAAGGCAAGACAGGGTGGAAAAGGGGGGCAATGGGCAGACTGAGGGGTATGGTGTAGGGGTGGGTTACTAAAAGCAGTGAAGTTTTTTTTACGAGGATAGTAGGCCAATTTAGAGTATGTAGGAAAGAGGGAAATTATTTCCCCATAAAAGTGGGCCCTTAGACAAGGATTTGTATGTCACGTGGGGTTTTAAAATTTTATAGAGGGGGGTTTTAAAGAAGTGAATGCGAGGGTTTTTGGCAAGAGGCGTGGGGTTAAAAGATAAAGAAACACACAAAGGGAGTTGTCACAGTTGCTCTTTGCTAGACACTGTGCTCTTGGGGGATTCTGAAAGGGAATTGCAGAGATTTTGGGTGAATTTGGTAGGGGTGCAAAAAAGAAAATTAAAAAGGGAAAACAGGAAAAAATAAGGTAATGAGGGTAACAAAAAGATTTGGTGTGAAAATTGGATATCAGATTGGAGGGAGAGAGTTGGAGGAGGTGAATGTATTTTAATATTTGGGAGTGGACATGTCATGGATGGTCTAGAAAAAGGTAAACATAGAATTGATGAGGGGAAAAGGGTGAGTGGGGCACTAGGAGTTGTGGAGCAAAGAACTTTTTTCCCTTTGGGGCAAAGAGGGGAAGTATGAGAGTAAGTTTTTTTCCCAAACCCTTTTTTAAAGGGGTGAGCATGGGGGATGAATGTTGCAGGGGGAGAAGGCTGGAGGCAGTGGAGATGTCATGTCTGAGGGCAAGTGTGGGGGTGAATATAAAAGCAGAGAATTTTAGTTTGGAAGTTAGAGGAGGGGGGGATTACCAAAACTGTTGCCAGAGGGCTGAGGAAGGGTTGTTGAGGTGGTTCACATTAAAGAATGGAGCGAAACAAATGACTTCAAGATGTATCAGTTGTAGTGAAGGAAGGGGGTAGGGGTTGGGCCCAGAAAAGGGTTGGAGGGAGGGGGTAAAGGGGGTTTGTGTGAGGGGGCTTGGATTTTCCCGCAGGCTGCGTGAGCGTGTTTGATAGGATAATGGAGACAAATGGTTTTTTTTTACTTGACTGCTTTGGAGTGTGAGCAAAATAACATTTTTTGAAGGGGTTTAGGGAAACCGGGAGGCCGGACTTGAGCCTGGAATGGGAATAATGCCTGCATTCTGAAAGAGGGGTGTTAATGTTGCAGTTTAAAAACAGTAGTGTAAAGCACCCTTCTGGCAAGACAGTGATGGAGTGAATGATGGTGAAAGTTTTTTTTCGGGCCACCCTGCCTTTGTGGGAATTGGCCAGTGTGATAATACTAATAATAATAATAATTCAAGTGTTTTAAAGTTACTGCGTATTTTATATGTACTCTGATAATTATACTTATGTGTACCTGTACCTAAATATACTTACTGTGCTGGTGTGCAGGTACACATTAAAATCGCTAAGTCTCTCTCTACTCATGACGCCAATACTACGTAATAATAATCACTCTTGGGCACACTAAATGTCTTATTTTACATTATTATAGGCATTTTCATTAATTCATCTATGATATTTTCCTCAAAATTATATATGAAACCCGTTACATAGCATATAAACATGATACATACACTCACAAATAAAATTGCCTTTAAATATAATTTGTTTACAAAGCAGCTGTGTAGGTAGTGTCGGAAGAGTTACGTTTTCTCTAGTCAAACTGGAGGATAAGGGGTAGAAAAAATATTCTTTCGTAGCCTTTATTCTATATATAGCAATTCCACGACCCTTGTGGGTTTAGTGCTTTTTATTATAATAATAATAATAATATTATTATTATTATTATTATTATTAATATTATCTTCATTCACTCTAAAAATGGTGTGTTGCTGTTTGTTTTTTTTGAACTAACTTGTACAACTTGTACACAATGTAAGAGTATTTTATTGTTTAGGTAATTATTATTATAATAAAAAAAATATTGAGGTAAATGTTTTACAAACTCTTACAAATGGACGCGAATGAACTAAAAGTAGACACATATTAATACGCATTTATTTTACCTGACCAAGTGATCGCCCTCTACCTGTTCAGTTTGTGTTCTTACATTGTCTCAACTCTGTATCTCGTTCTCTCTTTCGTTTGCTCTTTCGTTAACTAGTTGGCTCTCATTGATGATGGCGTCTAAGGTTAGCTGTGATAAAAAGAGAAGTCGTAAGCCTCTTGCTTTAAGTGCCAAGTTAGAGGATGATGGTGTGCCTTTCTGATTTTATTTAATAAACACCCTGCCACTCACCTCTCACACATTAATATTAATATTTTAAGGCAAGTAATAAGTGTACTCTGTGTGTATCTTACCTTTTATTGTGTTTTTAATGCCTATTTCTATTGCTAACTTTGATGCTGGTGAGGGGCTCTTGATTTAGGGAATTGGATCTGTGCTCCAGTTCCCCGAATTAAGCCTGAATGCCTTCCACATCCCTCCCCAAGGCGCTGTATAATCCTACGGGTTTAACGCTTCCCCCTTGATTATAATAATAATAATATTGCTAACTTAATATAAGTTAGTGTAAACTTGTTGTCTGGCATTTATTGCATATTTTATATTATTATTATTTTATTATCACACTGGCCGATTCCCACCAAGGCAGGGTGGCCCAAAAAAGAAAAACTTTCACCATCATTCACTCCATCACTGTCTTGCCAGAAGGGTGCTTTACACTACAGTTTTTAAACTGCAACATTTACACCCCTCCTTCAGAGTGCAGGCACTGTACTTCCCATCTCCAGGACTCAAGTCCAGCCTGTCGGTTTCCCTGAACCCCTTCATAAATGTTACTTTGCTCACACTCCAACAGCACGTCAAGTATTAAAAACCATTTGTCTCCATTCACTCCTATCAAACATGCTCACGCATGCCTGCTGGAAGTCCAAGCCCCTCGCACACAAAACCTCCTTTACCCCCTCCCTCCAACCTTTCCTAGCCGACCCCTACCCCGCCTTCCTTCCACTACAGACTGATACACTCTTGAAGTCATTCTGTTTCTCTCCATTCTCTCTACATGTCCGAACCACTCAACAACCCTTCCTCAGCCCTCTGGACAACAGTTTTGGTAATCCCGCACCTCCTCCTAACTTCCAAACTACGAATTCTCTGCATTATATTCACACCACACATTGCCCTCAGACATGACATCTCCACTGCCTCCAGCCTTCTCCTCGCTGCAACATTCATCACCCATGCTTCACACCCATATAAGAGCGTTGGTAAAACTATACTCTCATACATTCCCCTCTTTGCCTCCAAGGACAAAGTTCTTTGTCTCCACAGACTCCTAAGTGCACCACTCACCCTTTTCCCCTCATCAATTCTATGATTCACTTCATCTTTCATAGACCTATCCGCTGACACGTCCACTCCCAAATATCTGAATACATTCACCTCCTCCATACTCTCTCCCTCCAATCTGATATCCAATCTTTCATCACCTAATCTTTTTGTTATCCTCATAACCTTACTCTTTCCTGCATTCACCTTTAATTTTCTTCTTTTGCACACCCTACCAAATTCATCCACCAATCTCTGCAACTTCTCTTCAGAATCTCCCAAGAGCACAGTGTCATCAGCAAAGAGCAACTGTGACAACTCCCACTTTATGTGTGATTCTTTATCTTTTAACTCCACGCCTCTTGCCAAGACCCTCGCATTCACTTCTCTTACAACCCCATCTATAAATATGTTAAACAACCACGGTGACATCACGTGCTCTGATAATAATACTTGTAGAGCTGTGTGGTAGCCGGGTGGAGGGACAACATTACGTTTTCTCTGCTCAGCCATCAGAGAAAACATGAAAGAATCTGCATTTGGCCCAGCCACTCCCCCACTTCGCTTTTGTTTACAATTTTTGGCATGAATTATTCATTACTCCTCCCTTCATTTATGATGGCATCTAAAGGTAGTTGTTAGAAATTATTAAATTCAGTGAACAAGGTATGTTGATGTTAATAATATGGCTCTGGGCCATAGTGTAGGTAGCCAGTAGGTGTAGCCCAGGCGGGCTACACCTACTGGCTGCATACACTGACTTCCTACATATATGTAAATACTACTCACC